AGCCAAACTCCCACGGCTGAGTGTACAGCACCCACCATGGGGTGGCAAAGCATCATTGACCTGCTGCAGACCCTCCCCTGGGCTGAGGTTTGGGGGCCCTTTGGGTGCTCCAGGTGGTCTCAGAGCCCACACAGGCACTTCCTTCACTGAATTTCCCCATTTCTTCCCCAGTTCCCACCTCCCTCAGTCATTAAGATCCCCATGGAGCCCCTGCCATCGCAGCCCCGAAATGGGGGGCCCCATTGCCTCAGCCGTAAGTAACCAGCTCAGGAGCCTCTCCCACATTCCCTGCTGCTTCCTAACTCCCTCCACGGGGTCTGCTTGGCACTAACCCTGCTGGGAGACGCAGCCTGGAGCCTCCTGCTTCAGCTCACCAGGATCAGGGCTAAAATCCAGGAGGGGAGAGATGCAAGAGCATCTCTCATCTCAAGGCCTGGAGACCACCAAGGTTGCCTTAAAAGAAAAAAAAAAACCAGGAGTCTCCCTGGGTTTCATCCCCACCCTGAGCTGATTCTGATGGGGGTTTTAAAAGATGCATTTTTGGGCCTGTTTGGAGCCCCCAGAAGAAGGAGATGCAGCTTGTGGTGGCTGTGAACGTTTCATTTGGCTCAACCTTCATCCCAAAACATCACAGGTGTGTCCAAAAGAATGCAGAGTGAACTTGGCTCAGTTTGTTCCAGGTTGCATCACGATCCCAAGCAAGTTTTAACTCGATGATTCATTAACTCTGTCCTCAAGCAGCTCTGCTGGCAGGGCCTTTCCTCTCTCTCATCCCCCCCCCAAAATCAGCATTGCCCAGGAGCTTTTTCTCCTCCTCCCACCACCCAGAGGATGGATGCAGGACCTGGTGGCAGGTTGGAGTGGAGGATGAGGGTTGTTTTGGGGTTTTTTTGATGGGGTGGGGGTTCCTCCTCAGCTGGGAAGTGTCTCACCTCCGTGTCCCCCCAGGAAAGAGGGCCTCCACCTGGAGCTTTGCGTTCTGATTCCTCCCCGAATGGTTCAGACATGGATCGCAGGTAAATGCAGTTCCTCACCCACTCCCTCACCCTTGGGGCAGCAGCACCCACTGGGGAGATGTTTTTGGGGTCACCAAGATGCTCCTGGCTGAGCATCACTTGCTGGAGCTGGTTACCATCATCCTTGGGCATTTCTAACCTACTCAAGTCTATTTTCCTAACATCCCTCTGGATTTTGGAGGGGTTGGTTGGTTGTCCCTGGCTGGTGTGTTGTTGGGGGGGTGCAGAGCTGCACCCCAAGATTGGGTAAAGGGTTAAAAACCCAAGAGGATTTAGGGCAACAAAACTGCTGCTGTGGGTGACCCCATGGGGATTTTCAGGACTGGGATGTATCCAAATCATGAAACCTTGGGATTATTCTACAGCTGTGAGTTCTGCAGCTTGCAAAGCAGTAGATTTTAAGGAGGTTTTTGTGGTGGTAGCATCACTCAGAGTCCTTTGCTGGTGATTGGGGGATGAGTTAGGGAGGTGGATAGACACACTTGGCTGCTCACTTCCCTCTCTCCTCCTCCTCCTCAGTATTACACTTCACCTGAAGATTTCTTGCCCATCCTCTCCTGCCTTTAACTACACCCGAAGCCCAATCTGTGCCGTGCCCCAGGTGAAGATTGAGATGGAGTCAGACTATGAGGACACTGACACAGAGAAGGCTCCTCGGGACATGGGAAGTGAGACCACCCTATAGCCCCACGGTGCTCCCTCGGCGCTGATATATATATATATAGACATTGATAGATTCATATATATATATATATACACACACAAAGGAGTTTGGGCTTATTTTTCTATGCCAGAAGAGACCAGTGGCCCCAGGGGTCGTTGCTCCAGTAGGTTGTAGTGGCACCAGTTCCATGAGCTGTGGAATTTCCTCCCTTTCCGCTGGGCGAAGGCATCGCCGCTGGCGGCGAAACGGGGCTGGAAAGGTGATTTTTTTTGGTTTTCTTCCTTTTCTTTTCTGGCCTCTGCTCATCCCAGAGCTGCTGCTGGGCTGGAAGAGCTGAAGGTGGTGAGGGATGTGGGAGCAGCCAGGATGATGATGTGGATTGTGCTGGGGTGATGTTTTTGAGAGGATTTTTTTAGGGTGGGGAGGAGGTTGGTATGGCTGAGGGGGCTGGGGCAGCTCATGGCTCTGCTCCCAAATCCCAAAGTGGCTCTTGGGGAGTCTTGTTTCCTCAAGGGGATGGTGCAACAGCTGTTGGTGCTGGTCCAAGCCATGGAGTCCCTTCTTGTGGTATGGCAGTGATGCCCAAGGGACCTGCCAACCACAGAGGGACTTGGCTCTGCTGAGAGGAGACATGGCAGGTTTTAGAGGAGCTGTGCCCAGGAGAGGGAAGGGAAGGGAAGAGAAGGAGGAGAAGCAGCTCAGGATGAAGTTTGTTGCCACTTGAGAGCAACAGCAGTTGGGCTGTGGAGGGAGAGAGGCAGACAGGGAATGGGGCCATGATTTCCACAGGGAATTGAGAATGGTTTCTGCAGGGAAACAGGGATGGTTTCTGCAGGGAAATGGGAACAGTGGCTGCAGTGAAGCCATTTGGTCACCCATCTCCACATCCTCCCCCTGTGGTACCTCTCCCAGGGGCAGCCCTGGCCCCAGTGGCAGCTCCAGCCCTTCCTCTGGGCAGGAGCTGGAGGAATTCAGGCATTCTCTCTGGCTCTGCTGCCCCAGCCCTTGGGTGAGGGGCTTTGTTCCCACTGTAGCTCCTCAATCCTGGTGGTTCACATGTGGTGTCACAGCAAGTGGCTCACAACAACAGGGAGGGGAGAGCAAATCCAGACACCTACCTGTGCTTTCCAGCCACTCCCTGCTTGGTGTCCATTGGCATTTGGGCTCCACAACAGGCTCTTCCCACCCACTGCTGCCTCTGGGTCCTCCAGGAGAGGAAGGGAAGGGAGCAGGTTAGGACCAGGCAGGCTCTGAGCTCAGCTTGGCTCTGCTCAGCTCTCCCCACCTTTTTCCAGGGCACTGCTGAGGCTTTAAAGGATTTTTTTTTCCATCCACAGACCAAGCCCAGCTGTGGTTTAGAAACACTGGTCTGAAGCAACCCTCAAATCTGTTTCTTTTACTAGATGAATTCATTTTTTTTCCTCTTCTACTTCCAACCTCCCAGAGCCCCAACCCTTCCTGTGAGCAGAACCAACCTGCCTGACACTTACACCAGCAGTTTGGGGGTTTCTGGGACACCAGTTAAATATTGCAACTGGTCTGAACCTTTGCGTGGGACAGATCCCTGTAAATAGTCAAATCCAACAAAGACTTGAAGGCAATTTCCTATTTATAGCAGGTTTTCTTTTTTTTTTTCTGGATCAGAGGTGCATCTTCCTGGGGGGGGAAACGTGGTGAGAGGAACAACTCTTACCTTGTAAGCGTCGACAGTAACACTCAGAACCATTTCAACTTGAAGGCATCTTGTCTATTTTGTAGCATTTTGTACCAGTCCTGTGTGGTAGCTGAAGTGTGGTACAGCTAGGCTTATGATTTTTAATCAAGCAGGTTTAATTTGCTTTCTCCAGAGTCCATCAGCTCTACTTTACGACACCCCTGGACAGGTTTTGTGGACTCTGGTAGATGTTCTGTAGAGCAGAGCTGAAGCCACTCTAGAATTCAGCTTGTTTTTGACTCACTTTGTCCATTTTGCAAGGTTTCACACGTGGTTTCTACTTTTTGTATATGCCAAGTGGCACATCTCCAAATCAGCACCTGCAGCTCGGTACCACGTTAGCCGTTTTGTATTTATCGGTGATACAACCCAATAAACCTCGTTTCAATGAGTCTCAGCTCTCAGTGTCTTTCTGGGGCAGAGTCCTTGAATCCCAACTCACCTTCCCACTGCTGAGTGAGTGTTTTGAGCAGCTTTCTCCCCTCCAAGGAGAGGGGCAGGACTGGGGGTTTAACATCAGTTCCACTCACTCCTACAACAACAGCCCTGCAGAGGCAGAAAGTTGGAAAAAGACTTCCAAGAGCATCAAGATGCCATCACAACAAACCTTCCCCTGCTCTCAGAAATGGGGGATCAGTTATTCCAGGAAGGAAGAACTCAAGATTCACCTCAGTGCCCAGGAATGATACTGTAAGTAAGTTTTCAGATGTTGCCCAAGGCCTCATCACCACCTCAGAGCTTGCAAACCAACTCATTTGAGCTGTCATGTGGGTTAAGAACCAGAGGCAGGAAGGTGAACAGGTTTTGTTCAAGCAGGAAAGGAAGAGATTTGCTTACTTTTAAGCTGTGTTGGTGATGGATGCAGCAGTTGGGGGAGGAAGGCAGAGCTCACACCAGGAGCAGCTCTCAGGTGCCTCAAAACAAGTAAAATCTTTGCCCAACACCAACTCCAAGGCACAAGTAGAAATTTTGTCTTCTCACACTTTATTTAGTTAGCCTGCACTATTCACTAGCTGCTCACACACTTTACACCACCTCAGCCCAGGAAAGCTCCTGTGTGCCCCTCTGCAGGCACCAAACCCCCTCCCCAAATTGGTCTTTGGTTAGAAAAAAAGGCTTTAAAAAAAGTCACCATCCAAATAGCCAAAAAAAACAAACCAAAAAACAAACCCCAGCTTAGCTGCACACCAGAACATGTCACAACAGCTCTGCCCTGCCCAGGCCCAGAGCAGACATATGGCTTGAGTTTCTTCTCTTCAAGTAACTTCTCCTACAGAAGAGCTTAAACTAAACATCCAGCACAGAGCAGAAGACGTCAGCACAGGCCAAACGTCGCGGAGTGAACGTTTGGGAGAACAGACCCACCAAGGCTTTGCTCTGAGGGATTGCTCCCGTGGGAAGCTGCATTCCCAGGATGCTGAGTCCCTCTCCCAGAAGAGCTGGCTCAACCAAAGCACTTTTCAAGCAGGAGGAGCCCAGGAGTGTCACCACTTACACCTCAGCACACCTAACGTGCCTCAAGCTTCCAAGAAATACCTGTGGCCTCCGGAGTAGGAACTTTCAAGACAATAAATAACAATATTGCAGTTTTCTATCGGCCTGTTTGGGAGTCAGTTTGGAATGTTGGTTTTTCAGTGCTAAAGGTCCCACATTAAGCAGTTAATGCTTCCAGCTCTTTGGGTTTCAGCAGCTTCTTGGCGGCGATAATGGTGTTTTTCATGAGCATGGCCACCGTGACCGGCCCGACGCCCCCGGGGACTGGGGTGATGTAACTTGCCTTCTTCTTCACCCCTGCATGGAGGGAAGGCAGAAATCAGCAGACAAGGCAAGAGCAGCAACACTTCCCAGCCTAACATACCTCCAGGAGCACCAGGAGTTTCTCCAGGTGGGACCTTTCCCCTCTGTTGGCCACACCACCGCTCACCCATCGCTGATGTGGAACAAGCTGAGCATGCAAAGTTCAAGCTGGGCAAAAGGTCTAAAAGCTGATTTCTAGCACCAAAAGAAATGTCAAGTCCAGGATTAGATGTGGGTTTCAACATGCCACAATATGGTACCAACAGTCTGAACGTTCACCCTTTCTATTCCTTCCAGGAGGAGGTGCAAATGACTTTCCCCAGGCTCATCCCAACAGCTCCTCTGGTCAGGGAATATAAGGCAGAAGGTAAGTTCTGCTGGTTTTATTTAGCAGCAGGAGTGTTGGAATAAAGGAATAAACCCAAACTGCTTGGGCTCAGGCTGAGCCTCCTCTGCAGCACACAGGTTTCCCATGGAATGTCACAGGATACATCCTTGACTAATGCACAACACTGGAGGGTCCCAAGCAAGAGAACATCAGCTCAGTCACACACAGCAGGATTTTGTTCCCCCTTCTCAGCACCCAAGACACAGAAGCTCTTTCCATACCTTCAAAATCCACATCCCCAACCAGCCTTGACTTGGCTGTGACAGGATCCTGCACTCTGGTTATCCCCACATCAATCACTGCAGCTCCTTCTTTGATCATATCAGCTGTGATCAGGTTGGGGATGCCTAAAAAAAACCCAGAACCACACACTGAGTGGTGTTAAACAGCCTTCCTGTTCCCCCTCACCCCATAGTGACCCACCTGGGCCTTCCTGCCTCGCTGAACTGTTGGATTCAATCATCTTAAGGGGCTTTTCCAGCCTAACTGACCCTATGAAATGCAAATCCATATTCCAGCTACTGCTACTCTACTCAATCAGCTTATTTCCAACTGAGAAAGGGGAAATTTAGGTGAGCTAAACAGAAGGAATTCCTCCCTGTGAGGTGCTGAGACACTGGCACAGGGTGCCCAGAGCAGCTGTGGCTGCTCCATCCCTGGGAGTGTTCCAGGCCAAGTTGGATGGGGTTTGGAGCAACCTGGGCTGGTGGAAGGTATCCCTGCCCATGGCAGGAGATGAAACACAATCATCAATATCTTCTCATCCTTCCAGCACTCCACACCCAATTTCCAACCCACACTTTCTCTCCTCCCTCCCCAGGCTCACACTCACCTTCTGCTGCCCAACAGCCTCCCCAGATCAGCTCAGCCTCTGTGCCAAGGGCACAGCCTGGAGCTGAGCACAGCTCCAAGTGGCTCCTTGTGCTCTGAAGATGCCACTGCAGCTGCCCCTCAGCACTTGGACTGGCTCTAGGTAAGTAGATGCTACCTTGGCATTTTTTCCCTCCTCCCCACAAGAGGACAGAACTGTGATGTACAGCAGAGCCTGTTTTGTTCAGGAGCTGTTCAGGAGCTCCCTGGCAGGCCAAACACTCCTGCCAGGTGTTATTTTACATTTCAAAGGCAAAGCTACCAACAGCTCTGCTGCCAAGATGGAATATGTGGCTCCTGGGCTCAGTCCCAGGATAAATTGGCTCAAACAGCCAGCAGACCCTCCCAGGCTGCAGAGAAGCTCCAGGATATGCCACCCCAAGGATTCCCAGCACAAACACCTTGAACACTGCAGCATGGCACCCTTTGCACCCCTCCCCTGTGCCATTAGTCAGGTCTCACCTGCTGCTGCCACCACGATATCCGCACGGATCGTGTGCTGCTTCAGCTCCTCCTTGGGAGTGTAGCGATGGGATATTGTCACTGTGGCATCACCTGCAAGGAGTGGGTCCATGGAAACCTGAGTCAGTCACATATCCCACCCAAATCCAGCC